TATATATATATATTACAAAAGCTTACTACCTTGCTTCTAGTCAACAACTTCCTACCAACTAAAACATTACCTGTTGACAGAATAAACCATGCTATGATAGTCATTTTAATCACCAAAAATAAACATTACAATTGATTATAATACATATAATTGCTACAAAATATGACATAAAAAATGACAATAGATGTCAATACAAACTTACTTTGATCCTATCAACAAACAAAATCGAAAGTCAAAATTTCAGTATATGGGCCAAAAATAGAACATGAAAAGAACAAGGAGTCGTACTAGCAAGTCATAACGGGATTAAATCACTCTACATTTTGATCCTCAAAATCATACAAGTCGGAAGCTGCAGAAAGTCCAACAGGGTAATTTAGCCTTACCAACAGTTTATATCACCAAAAAGGGAAAAAATAAAAGCAACTAAATTAGCAAGGTTGACAAAACAAGATGCATACAGTCGTCCATTTTAAATTTGATAGCATCCATCTTCCAAGAATTTTTTCATCTTGGCATCAGGTTCAGCTGTTGCCTCTTCTCCCTTGGCAATTATCCTATCTATATCTTCATCTGTGATTATGCTATCTTTAGAACTGAAAACCGTTTCAGCACCAAATCTTACCATTCGCCGCAGCTCATTCTTGTTAACAGCTGCATGGCATACATAAAAAAATTAAATATGTCGACTTTGATGGTAATCCATGAATAATAAAATCCTACTATTTTGCTCTGCTAGTTGCCCTTGCTGGATAACCAAAGCGTCCAATGCAAGCTTTTTATAGGCCCTCTCGATCACTTTTTCCTCAATAGTGTGCTGGTAACAATGAATTAGAACATATTATGAGTGCATAATTCCTCCAAGAAGCCTCATTAGAATACAATACAAAATATGGCAAAAAGCTAAACCTCAGTGTCGGAACACTTAGGACTTCTGTTGATTATTGAAGACTTTTGGTTTTCTCCACATGATGAAATATGAAGAGTGTTAGAGAGGAAGATGAAGAGTGTTGGAGAGGAAGATGAAGAGATGGATGCATTCACCATCATTATTAGTCATTATTAATGGATGCATTCATCATCATTATTAGTCATTATTATTCTTCTTAATTGTGTGACTCTTAGTAGTCTTATGCTATCCTATAAATAGGTTTGTCATGTACTCAAATCAAATAATTCATATATATATAAAAAAAAAGTTTCTCTCAAAATATACTTTGTTCTGTTCCAGAACAAACATTTGGTATCAGAGCTCTCCTGATCATAAAGGCCTGTGAGAAAGAGGAAAAATGGCAAATTCTACTCTAGCTTCAATGCCTATCCCCATGATGTTTGGAGGCGAAAACTATGAGTATTGGTCTGTCAGAATGAGGGCTTTCTTGATGGCACATGATCTATGGGAGATTGTTGAAGAAGGTTATACTCCACAGGAGTTGGATGCAGACCCTACTGTGAATCAAATGAGGCAAGAGAAGGATCGTAGAATAAAAATTATGAAGGCTCTTACCTTCTTGCACTCTTCTGTCACTGAGATAATTTTTCCCAAGATTGTGGCTGTTACAACATCAAAAGAGGCTTGGGATAAATTACAAGAAGAGTACAAAGGGTCTGAGCAAGTGAGAGCAGTAAGATTGCAAACTTTGAGCAGAGAGTTTGAAAATCTAAGGATGAAGGATGCTGAATCCGTAAAGGACTACTCTTCTAGAGTGGCTAATGTGGTGAATCAGCTTAAATTGAATGGAGAGGACGTACCAGACAAAAGAGTGGTGCAAAAAATGTTGATTACCTTACCCGAAAAGTTTGATGTTGTTACCACGGCTATAGAGCATACGAAGGATCTGTCAAGTCTTTCTTTAACTGAACTTATAGGTGCTTTGTTAGCCTATGAGCAAAGGTTAACATCAAGATCTGAGGTAACTATTGAAGGAGCTCTTGCGGCAAAGTTTAAACCGCAAAGTTCAAGTGAAGGTGGAGGAAAGCAACACCAAGAAGGGAAGAAGAAAGGCAAAGGAGACTCATTTTCTCCTTGTATTCATTGAGGAAAAACCAACCATTTTGAGAAGAAGTGTTGGAAGACAAAGCACTGCAAATTTTGCAAGCAAGTGGGCCATATTGAAAAGTTTTGTAGAGCCAAAAAGCAGAATCTAAATCAGCCACAATATCAACAAAGAAATCAAAATCAGCAAACAGCATTTGCACATGAAAGGAATGGTGAAAACCATTTGTTTGTAGTTGTTCATGGAGCTGAATTGAGTAGCAAGGAAACATGGTTTGTAGACAGTGGAGCTGAATTGAGTAGCAAGGAAACATGGTTTGTAGACAGTGGTTGCACCAATCATATGACCAATATGGAGCAGATTTTTCGCAATTTAGACACAAATGTGAAGGCCACGGTGAAAATTGGAAGCGGAGGAGTCCTACCAGCCAAAGGTAAGGGTACCATTGCTATCCAAACAAAGAAAGGTACAAGGTATATTGATGAAGTACTTTTAGTGCCTGGCTTGGATTCAAATTTACTAAGTGTGGGTCAAATGCTTGAAAAGAAATATGCTGTGCATTTTCGAGATATGAAATGCAAAATCTATGATCCTCATGATGTTGAAATTGCTAGTTTGCCTATGCATAATAGAAGTTTTAGCATTCAATGGCATAGCTTACTTGCAAATATGTCTAGAGTTGATGTGGATGAATCTGATTTGTGGCATAGAAGATATGGTCATTATAATTACAAGTCTTTGTCATATGTGCATTCTCATGGCATGGTGAGAGATTTGCCTAAAATTCATTAATCTGGAGGAGTATGTGAGAGCTGTAGTTTGGGAAAAATGCATAGAGAGTCATTTTCTAATGATGGTGCAGGAGGGTATCTGGAAAATTGCAGCTTGTGCATACTGATATTTGTGGT